ATACACGGGTTCCTCGGAGCTGAGCTATCGGTGTCCGCGCGCGAGAAGCCTCCCGCTAATCGTCCTTAGCTCTAATGTAGGGCCCGGTGCAGCTCTTCCACCGCCACACTCAACACGTCCCGCCTGACGTTGCGCCTACCTGACTTAGGTACCTACCTTACCTACCTCACAAGCACCCGACCCGTCCAGCCTGGGCACTCAAGGCCACGCGGCTGCCTCCATCACATAAAGTGGCCCGCCGCAGCACCCCCTGGGATGCCGCATTGCAGCCAGTGGCATTGACACACTGAATAGCACTCCCACCCAATTGGATTGGCTCAGCCTTTCCAGGCAACATCATCCAAGCCATCCGGCCTCTTAGCAAAGCTGGCGCCAATGGTTTACTTGTCCCAAACATCGCGACTCAACAATCTACACATTCTACGCAAAATCTTCCCTGCGATCCAAACTGCGTGATCTGGCCATCACTGCAGACCTGACACAACATAAATTGCTGCGCGCACGCGTTACCAGATACCGACCCGTCCGAAGCTATCCGATGCAGATCCCCAAGCAACAGTACACGCCCCCTCGACCGAACTTTATCACCACCTCCGCCTACGCGGAATTTTCCTAAAGAGTTGCCCACTGCATACACACTCTCCCAATGCGGGCGGGATGCCTTCTCCAACTTCGTACCGTTCCGCGGACCCGCCAGGCTCCCCAGCGAATGATTCCGATTCAGACCTCGATCTCGACATCCAGGAGCTCGATCCTGCGACTACGACTACCCACCGCAGCCCTGGACTCATCCGCAGCGACCGCCAGACCACTGAACATCGATCGCCACGTATAGCACTGCGAAACCTACGTATGGGGGGCTCACGTCGGGCCGGGCAGAAGGCCAGAGGGTATGGAGAGCTGGGCAAGAACCGCGACGACGACAGCGACGATGGAGAAGCCCTTTTGGGCGAATCCGAGGGCTCCTCATCACGATATAGGGATGGCAGAGGATCCGACGATGACGACTCGCCTCTCCTGCCGGGCGGATCGCCTGCGAGGCGCCGTTCGTTTGCTGGGGATAAGTTCGAACGTCTGAAGTCGGGTTTACGATTGCCCAGCTTCATGTCGAATTCAGGGGCGCAGGAGGCAAACAACAACGACGGCGAAGACCAGGACGAGGACGACCCATCGACATCCCGCCTTGTCGCCGTAGGGTCGTCCCAGTCGACGAGATTTCCCCCGAACCTGATATCGAACGCCAAGTACACGGCCCTCTCGTTCCTGCCCGTCACTCTCTACAACGAATTCTCCTTCTTCTTCAACATGTACTTTCTGCTGGTAGCTCTGTCGCAAGCAATTCCAGCGTTGCGAATCGGCTACCTTTCGACTTATATTGCACCTTTGGCGTTTGTGTTGATGATCACCATGGGCAAGGAGGCATACGACGACATTGAGAGACGACGTAGAGATAACGAGGCGAATGCGGAGGAATACACCATTCTCACTTTTGACGAGCCCGGTCGTGGTATGGCTTCGCACCGATCCCACAAGAGACTCAAGTCGGATTCGATGAGGAGGGGCAAGAACTCGGTGAACAGCCGGGACAGACTGTCGGATATCCAGGAAGAGGAGGAGCGAGCAGAAGCAGATGGGGCCCTCCCTCCGCCGTCGTCATCTGTGCGCGAAGTCGTCCGAAAGTCTCGGGATCTCAAGGTCGGCGATGTTCTCAAACTCGGTAAAGGTCAACGAGTCCCTGCCGATGTGGTCATTTTGAAATGCATCAGTGCGGAATCTACCACCGCGGCCCCTGTAATGGAGACCATTGCGGAGGAGGAATCCTTGTTGGTTGATACAGACGAAGAGCATTCGAAGGATTCGTCTGACGCAAAGGGCAAGGAAGCAGAGAAGAACGATGGGAGTGGCGGCAATGCGTCTGGCGAGACATTCATCAGAACTGATCAGCTCGACGGTGAAACGGATTGGAAGTTGCGGCTGGCATCACCTCTGTCCCAGTCGCTATCAACTGAAGAATTTGTTCGCCTCCGTGTCACCGGAGGCAAGCCCGACAAAAAGGTCAACGAATTTATAGGCACTGTCGAGCTCTTGTCTTCCAGAAGAGATGCTCAAAGTCAACAAGGAGCGCTCGATGGGGATGAAGGAACTTCTGCACCTCTATCGATCGACAATACAGCCTGGGCAAACACGGTAATCGCCTCCAGTGGGACGACTCTGGCGGTCATCATGTACACTGGTCCTCAGACAAGGTCCGCCCTGTCTACAGCTCCCTCACGATCCAAGACTGGTCTCTTGGAGTACGAGATCAACTCTCTCACAAAGATTCTCTGTGCTCTGACCCTGGCCCTATCCGTTATTTTGGTCGCTCTGGAGGGTTTCTCGAATACCGAGGGCAACGTCTGGTACATCAAGATCATGCGGTTTTTGGTTCTTTTTTCGACCATCGTACCCATCAGTCTACGTGTCAACCTCGACATGGGCAAGAGTGCGTACTCTTGGTTCATCCAACGGGATCCAGGTATGCCTGGGGCTGTTGTCCGAACGAGTACGATTCCCGAAGACTTGGGCAGAATCGAGTACTTGCTCAGTGACAAGACGGGAACCTTGACTCAAAACGAAATGGAGATGAAGAAGATTCATGTCGGTACTGTTTCATACGCCAACGAAGCCATGGACGAAGTCAACTCCTATGTTAAGCAAGCTTTCCACATCCAACCTGCCACCGATCCTTCGACACGCACAGCTCTGGTCACGCCCTCCTCTCAGGTGTCCAGCTCGGTAAACGTCGGTGCTACTCGTACAAGAAGAGAAATTGGTTCCCGTGTGCGAGACGTTGTTCTTGCACTGGCTCTGTGTCACAACGTCACCCCGACTACAGAAGAGGAAGATGGCAAGACGGTCGTCTCGTATCAGGCGTCCTCCCCTGACGAGATTGCAATTCTTCGATGGACCGAGTCTGTTGGTCTTCGTCTGGCTTATCGTGACCGAAAGAGTATGGTTCTGGAGTCGACAGATACTGGCCGTGAAGTTGTGCGGGTGCGCATTCTGGACGTCTTCCCCTTTACATCTGAAGGGAAGCGCATGGGCATCATCGTTCAGTTCTACGAACAGGCTCAAGCCGCGCCTCCCAATCTGGCCGACAGCGAAATCTGGTTTTATCAAAAGGGTGCCGATACGGTCATGAGCGCTATCGTAGCCGAGAACGATTGGCTTGACGAGGAAACCGCCAACATGGCCCGTGAAGGTCTTCGCACGCTTGTCGTTGGACGCAAGCGCCTGTCTTATGAGCAGTACCAGGAGTTCTCCTCAAGCTATCAGGCAGCTTCCTTGGCTATTACTGGACGCGACGCAGGCATGCAGCGAGTTGTTTCTCATCATTTGGAGCGCGGCCTGGAGCTTCTCGGAGTCACCGGTGTCGAGGATAAGCTGCAAAAGGACGTCAAGCCTTCGCTGGAGCTGCTGAGAAACGCCGGGATCAAGATCTGGATGTTGACAGGTGACAAGGTTGAAACCGCGCGTTGCGTTGCCGTCAGCTCCAAGCTGGTCGCTCGCGGGCAGTACATCTATACGGTCGCCAAGCTTAAGAAGAAGGACAACGCTCAAGACCATCTGGATTTCCTCCGCGGCAGGACAGATTCATGTCTTCTCATCGACGGCGAGAGTTTGGCCCTGTTCCTTACCCACTTCAGAATCGAGTTCGTTTCTGTCGCCGTCCAGCTTCCCACCGTGGTCGCTTGCCGTTGCTCGCCGACCCAAAAGGCCGAGGTGGCGAAGCTGATCAAGGAGTACACCAGGAAGCGAGTTTGCTGTATCGGAGATGGAGGCAACGATGTCTCCATGATTCAAGCGGCAGATGTCGGTGTCGGTATTGTGGGCAAGGAGGGTCGTCAGGCCAGTTTGGCTGCTGATTTCTCCATTGACCAGTTTTTCCACCTGACCAAGTTGCTGGTTTGGCACGGACGAAACAGCTACAAGCGGAGTGCTAAGCTCGCTCAGTTTGTTATTCACCGTGGTTTGATCATCGCTGTCTGCCAAACGATGTACAGCATCGCCATCAAGTTCGAGCCAGACGGTCTTTACAAGGTAAGTTTGTCGGGAGTCAACATGGACATCTTCTGACATTTTGCAGGACTGGCTTCTCGTGGGATACGCCACATTGTACACCATGTTCCCTGTTCTGTCCCTCGTTCTGGACAAGGACGTCGACGAGGATCTCGCAAACCTGTACCCCGAGCTGTACAAGGAACTTACATCCGGACGATCCCTCTCTTACCGCACTTTCTTCGTCTGGGTTCTCGTGTCCATCTACCAAGGTTGCACCATCCAAGGCCTGTCACAGATTCTCACCTCCGTCGATGGCCCCAGGATGGTGGCCGTGTCGTACACCGTTCTGGTGCTCAACGAACTCATCATGGTTGCCATTGAGATCACCACGTGGCATCCTCTCATGATCCTCTCCATCGTTGGTACGTTCCTGATCTACGTCGGGTCCGTGCCGTTCCTCGGCGGGTACTTTGACCTCCAATTCATCATCACCTTGTAAGTTGTCCGTGCCGTCTGTGTTTGGCCACATGCTGACAGGGCCCAGGGGGTTTATCTGGCGTGTCCTCGCCATTGGGGCGATATCTCTCATCCCTCCCTACGCGGTCAAGCTGATTAGGAGGACGATGAAGCCGCCCTCATATAGAAAGGTGCAGAGCACGTAGAAAGCATGAGCGTCGGCGAAGGCTCTTTTTTCTTTGTATCATAGGAACATTTTCGGCGTTTGGAACGGGACACGAACCGCGGCCAGAAAGGGAGGCTGCGTTTGCATCACTTAACGGAGTTGAAGGCCGGGGAGATTTATACTCTTCACTTTGTACAGCATTTTCTTTCGGTTTGGATGGATCACCGGCCCAGAAACTAGACAGCGTTACTGAATATCCCATTCCAGGGGCCCTGAATTTCTCTGGTCTAGACTATGATACATGTGCTCGCTTGAATCTTACAATGCCGCCTTGATATCACAGCTTCAGGACAATCCAGTCCTCCAACAAGTCTGGGTTGCCCTTCTGCATCGCACCCAGCAGTCCGCCCACAGGACCTTGCAACTGTCCTCCGTCGCGCCAGATCTTCGGCCCCGCGTACGCCTGCACAAAACCCTCCGGGCCAGAGATGACAAAGACGTTCTTGCCGATCGCGGCTCCCTCCTTCGGAGCGCAGGCGCAGTCCTCGTCCTTGGAAAGGAACCTCTTCCCGGCATTCGGCGCGCCGTCAACCATGCCCAGGTGCGCAGTCTGCGAATGGAACTTGCATCCCTCCGTCGAGACCGGTGGAGGACCCTCGCGCTTCTTGGACCCTGCTTGAGCCAAAGCTGCAGAGAGGTCCAGCTCCCCCACACGCGTCCCTTCTTGGTCAACCACGAGCCTCACATCAAGCTTATCGCCGTACCTCTCCTTCAACGCGAGCAACTCCCTGCTCACGGCAGACGCATCGCCGACCTCCGCGGAGAGGGCCTCGGCATGAATCCCTCCTGCCCCCTTCCCCCCAGCAAAGGGATTCCACCCCCAAGAAGAAATCGATCCCTTCTGCTTCGCCGGCGCCGCGTCCTGCACCTCCTCGCGACCCCTCACGGCCCAGAAGATAGTCACGTCCACCCCGCGCGGCAGGACAGCATTCGCAGCCTGCAATGCGCTCGCCACCCCCGTCCCGCCCGCCAGGAACACCACTCGGCCACCGGCCTCGCACAGCCGGCTGCGCAGGTCAAACTCCCCGTGCGGCCCGCGGATCTCGACTGAGTCGCCGGGGAGCAGCCGGGAAAGGTACGTCGAGACCTCGCCGCCGCGCAGCGCCCTCACGTACAGCCTCAGCGTGTCGTCACCGGCTGCGCCCGGGAGCGGGGTGTACTCGCGCGCGACCTGGATCTGGGGCTGCTTCACCTCGACGCACCACAGGTCGAAGACGTCCCACAGCGACGAGAGCGGCGCTGGCCCGGTATGTGGCGGTTTGAGGGTCAGGATGAAGGATGTCGGGGACACGGGGTCTTTGGAGGTGACGGTGAAGGGGACGAATTTACGGCCGTTGGCGAGGATGGTGGCCTCGGACGGGTCGGAGGAGGGTGCGGAGGCGGGGAAGAGCCATTGGGAGTCCCATGCGACGCCGGCGACGGCGAGGGCGAGGAGGAGGGGGATATTGCGCGGGGTAAGGAGGCGTTTGCGGGTTGTTGTGGATTTGAGGCGACGGGTGGGTGGGAGTTTGCGTTGAGGTGTCACGGGCGTTGGTCGGGGTTTTTGAGTGTGGAAGTGATGTGAAAGGCGTTGGATTTGGCATGGTGAGATGAGTGTCGGTTTTTGGCGTGTTATTGAAGTGAGGGAGTGAGTGTGCCAGGACTGGGTGAAGCCCGACCGGGCGGCGGCGCTGGCGACAAAAGCCATCATCCGCCTTTTATGAATGTTTCGCAGCTAAAGATGACAGACCGATAGTTCTCTGGGATATGATAGCGTTTTGGGCTTGTTGGCGAGATTGGCGATGGTGACATAAACGACTTGAAAAGTCGAGGTTGAGCGGACCCGCCAATCAAGTGAGAGCAATGGACAGGTCACGTGAGCGCCACAACGACGATGATTATCTCACAATACGCGTCTGAATGAATCATTGGTAAGATATATTTTCTTATGCCTACCTTTAAAAGGCACGGTCATTGTGCTTTAGGGGCGGTCCAAAGTACTAAGCTGTTGAGCGTAGTTGAATGTCAATGCCGATGCCCCTTTTCCTTGACACAGCCGTTCAGGTCTAAGTCTAGTCCACGCTCACTTGAGTGGTGGTTTCCTCTATAATACAACAGAATCTTAAACTGCCATCGCCGTCTTCATATCCTCAGAATCTTCCTGTTCTGATCGATGCCGCCCCGGAACATATCCGCGACAACCCTTCCCCCGAGAACCGTCTCCCTCACGATCCCCTCGACATGCTTCGGCTCAACACGCCCATACCAAATGCCCATCCCGGCGAGCGGGTGATTCTCCCCACCCTCCATCTTCATCTTCGGCGGTATATAAACAATAATGTTCCCCGCAAACTTGTGTCCTCCAATGTGGCTAATCAGCCCAACCCTCGCCGACAACATCTTCTCCTCTCCCCCAGGTGGCGCCGCAATCCTCCCCGTCTCACCCTCATACACCTCAAAAGGGCCCCTAGCAACACCGACTCCCAGCCCCTCAAGCTGCCTCTCAAATTCGTCCCTAAGCGCCGGACCCATCACGCCGCACCGCATGTCGCGCCCGCCGTGCCCGCACACCAGCACCAGCACGTCCTCTACGTCGCGCACGCCGTACAGCAGCGACCGGTACGCCTCCTTGCGCGTAAGCCGGTCGCGGTGGATCGGCGACAGGCCGTCGTGCATCTTGTGCAGCTTCTCCGGCAGCAGGTAGCCCTTGGCGAGCGCCTGCACGCTGTCGAAGCTCACCCGCGGCAGGAAGGGCACGTACTTGAAGCTGGGGAGGAGGTACGCGCTCGTCGTCTGCAGCTCGCTCCGCTTCGGCACGGAGGAGGGGAAGGAAGCGTTCAGGACGGAGATGTTGTGCCACGGCTGTGCTGTGGTCAGTCTCTTTTCTCACTCATAGCAAGCTCATTGATATCGCCACCCTCTCCTCGTCTCATTTGACGGACAGAAAAAAACTCACATCGCTATACGTCCCACCACGTCCAAACAGCTCCTTCAGGTCCGCAGCCAGGTTATCCCCGCTGTTCTCCTCCTCGATCCTCGAAACCCAGTCGTCCTTTCCCGTGCAGACGAGCACCTGCTCCGCGTACGCCGACACGACGCCATTCAGAGGGCTCTTGAAGTCGATCGGCAGGCCCTCGGGCATCGCCGGCGTCTCGGCGCATCCGCAGGTCGGCGACGGACACTTCGGGACCGTCTCGAATGGAGGCGGAGGCGGCGGGGGTCTCGCGGTTGACGAGGACTTGGCCGCGTACGCCCGCCGGAACGAAAGTGGCAGGTGTGTAGTGGGCTGCCGCCGCGCCAGGCGCGAGACTACTCTCGCCGGTAACATCATCCACCGAGGCCGGAATATTGGGACTCGGCTCCTCGCAATTGATTTTTCTCTGAAGTAGTCAAGATGGTTCTATCAAACACGGCAGCGGCGATGGACGGAAGTCACCAGGGGCCGTCCGGCACGGAAGACAAGACACAGCAGCCTATGACGTTCGGGGCTCGGTGCGGAGCCCGGCGCCGAGCTGGTGGGTTCCAGGTCGCGCGCGCAAGGTCATGTTAGGTAATCCCTCGCACCTAACTGGCGCCAAACACCCGCCCTGGCCAGGTTCACTTTTAGGTGGGAACGCTAGCCCACGACCGGCAACACCCCCCCGAGCAAATCGGCACTTGTCCATACCTATTCGCACGTGAACGCCCTTTTCTCCTTCTTTCTCTCGCTCGCTCCCTCCCGCGCTCCGTACCATGTCCGAATTCCGTCCCATCTCCCACACCCGTCAGCGGCTTGTCAAGGGTCTGGGTAGGGGCAGCGCCGCCATGCGCCTTATCATCCCAACCGGGCGACTCGGAGCCGACTGAGGACGGCTTCGGACTTTGCTTCCCAAAAACAACCATGAACACCGCTCCTGTGAAGAGGAAGCAGGGGAAAGGGGGGGCCGCAAATCCCAGTCGCAGACAGATTTAAAGATTAATCAACAACCTTGGAGGGGATCGGACGGATGACCGGCCGGCCCCGAGTGGTGGTGGTGGTGGTGGTGCACTGCGGTCGCCCCGTCCTCACTCAACCTCAGCTCTTTTGTCCCAAACCCCCTGAATTCCAAAGGAGCCTCACGAACTCCATTCCTCGTTGCAGCGCGCAATTCCCCGTCACCGAAACAGCCCCCCCTCCCCCGTCGCTCATACCTAACCCAAAAAGCGGGTTACGCTTTACGGCCCACAGGCAGGCGCAAATCATCAACGGAGCATAAAAGCGAAGTAAGTCAGACATTCGCGCGCGCGAGTAAGCAAAATAAAAAAAAACGACGACCCGTTCTCCACGGCCCGGACCACGGCACCGCAACGCCGTAAAGTCTTGGCTTCCATTGGGTCGATCGCACTTTCGAACCTTGACCGAGATATGTGTCTCGACTTTCGTGATTTTATTCCCGTAGCATGCCACCATGCACAGCACATCCCGTTGCGAGACATCAGATCATGGTTAGATCGGACAACGGGCCTTTGTGCGCGCTAGTTAGACTACTCGCTACCTTACCTTTCCAGCTTTCCACAAAACTAGGCTGAACCTGTTTAGCACCCACGGCGCTGTCACGAAAAGAGTAAATGCTCAATGGTATGGGGGCCGCTGGCTTTGATTTACATGACTAGCCATACGCGCGAAAAGAGAGGGGTGAGGACGGACGGTTGAGGCATGGGGGGGATGGGGGGCAGGCAAGGCAAGCACATCATATCAAATTCATAAAAAGACATACACAAATCTTGAGGCTCTTTCCCCCCCCCCCCCCCTTCCAATTGCGGCCCCCCCCCCCCCCCCTTCCAATTGCGGCCCCCCTCTTCCCTTTCGGAGGGCGGGCGGGATATCACGGCCGGTATTAACAACCCACCCACACCGGCCAAAGGAAAAAGAAAGCATTGAGTGAGAGGGAAAAGGAAAAGAAGGAACCCACCATTCCACACACTGCAAGTTACCCCCCTTCCTAAGGTCATTCCCGCCGCTACCGATGACAAGGGCTCTCCGTCTGCACCTTGAGGGGTGCGTTGGACGGGCGTGTCCGTCATTGGGCAGAAGAACGAAGAAAAAAAGCGTGAAGAGAAAAGACTGGACTGGACCGGCAAACACAAACAACAAACGCAGACTAACAAAAAGTCCCTTCTCTCCCCCTCCCCCCAGCCCACCCAGAGAATTTACCGAGACAACATTGCATCCCGTATCTGTTTTCGTGCAGCACCGCGAGATTGCAAAAAAGCTCCCCCCTCCCCTCCCCCACCGACGAGAAAAAAACTCCACGACCGGTGTGCGCTGGTGACTGGTCCGCCACAGCGGTCCGACGAGCCGAGGGGTGAGGTGAGCACCGTATGTGGTGGCATGTATGTAAACTCGCGCTAGAATCTGACTGCAGTTGGTTCATCTCATCCAACGAGGAACCTCCAGCACTCATCCTTGAAACTATGGAAGTGAAAATACAGGGCTCCATGGCCCCTGTTGATCCTTCCAACAAACGTCGCCGCAGATGTGGCAACATGCCCGGCCGAAAGAAAGAAGAGAAGCATATTCCGGTTCCTACGGGATGCGCAGTCTGGCAGGGCTATCCGTACCGGCTTCAATTAAACGCACCGTTGAGAAACCGAGCCGAAGGGGGGAGGGGGGCAGGCTGCCGTCGTATGCCGCATCCCGCATGCCAATCATGCGGCCAACCTGAGACATGCAGACCGATCCCTCCATTCTGCAATATCACGGCCACAAGGGATGATGGATGATACGGCGGAAAGATCTGGCTATTTTTCCCTCATTTTATTCGGATTTTGGTGGCGTGAGTTACATCACATCGCGCCCTATGCTATGCTTCTTCGTCTCTATCATCTCGTGTTGCCTGGTTTAGCTCCTCCTGGGGCTGTCTCCATCTACGAATGCAGTAGGTGACAATTGCCCGTTTCTCACCCTCTCCTCTGCCTCTTGCTGTCTCTCCCCAACTCTTGATTGGCCGGCCTTTTCATACGTCTTTTCTCATGTACAGGGTATAATGATACATAGACAAGAGTCTAGCGAAGCAAAACTGACTATGAACAAAATTCTGGGCGCAACACCACATGGCTGCTTCGTGATAATCTCAGCGTGCAGGCCATATATGAGCGTTTAAGGCCGTCAGTACAAAAAAAAGCAAGTAAAAAATCCACGTGTCCCCAGACGCCGTAAATGCAATGCATGTAGAAAAAGAAAGAAACAAGTCTGGTGCCGACGTGGCTAGCTGCTTCAGCTTCGAATGTATACGAGATCCATCCTTCGAGGAAATGTTGTGTCCATTGGATCGTCCATCTGCCAGCACCTCCCCGCAGGCAGCTTGCTATCCTTGCTCTCGTCGTGATCAAACACCCTGCTACCGGCGAGGGGCGCGTCGCTGGGCCGACGATCCCGCAGAGCACGTAGTGCATCGAGCCTCTTTTCCATGGCCGATTGATGGGCCCGAGCCTCTTCCCATACCATTCCTGCAGCATCGACAATCGCCCTTGCGACCGCGAGCCGATCCAGAAGGACCGAGACATCCGCCAAGGACCCCTCCGCCGTGAGGACGTCAGTAGCCTCGAGGATGACGTAGCTCATGAAAGGAGGCGGCGCACTGATGGGAGCTCGGCGGCCCTGGAGTAGCACTTCCAACATGCCCGTGATGTCCAGAACCCGCGTTGCTTCCTCATGGATGCGCGTTCCGTATTGTAGCCGTACCGAGG